CTCTTTCACTCTATATTACTTGTTGCGATTTCGTACACTTGCGAAAATCACTGTCACTCCATGCTTATAGTACATTTCCTACCTTGTCATTTTTTTTAAAAAAAATTCAAGGACGAATTTTTATAAGGGGGGAAGATTGAAATGACCCGAAAATTCAATTTCATAAGATTTTCATTTAAAAAATAAATTTTTATTCCAACCAATGAAATTCAGGATAAAATATTTTATTATTGCTAAACCAAGCCTGTAAACTAGTTTGAATTTTTTAAAAACCAAGTGAAAACCCCGTAAACCAAGCAAAAACCCAGTCAAATCACTGAATTAGACCAAACTGATTCGAATCGAACTGCGATAGTCTAGAAACCAGCTTTTTCTTCTTTTTTTTTTCCTTTCTCTTCTTGTTCTTCCTTCTTCGGCAACACCTCATTCCCCTCCCTCCTCATTTTTCGGCCACCGCTCAACAAGAGCAAGTGCAGTTGGGTTCCTTCATACCGCCGGTCACATTTTCGACCTTCCTTCACGCCGAACGGGCCTGCTAGGGCGCGAAACCAAGCTGCCTCCTTCAACAATTTCTTCTTCTTCAATTTTCGGTGACCCACGCCGTTTCCAGCGGTTCCAGTGGGAGAGACAAGCATTGATCGACTCCCTGTCGCCTCCCAATGCTGAAACCTCTCTCAGTTCTGGCAACGGGTCCTGGATGATGAGAATACCATAGATGGGGGCAGCGTAGCGACTGTCAAGCTTGATTTTGACCAACCGGCTTGCCAAACGCACAAATGGAGCATGGATTTGAACTCCTTGTGAACTTTTGAGTCTGGAAATGTGGAAATTGCTCAAATCCAACGAAGATCAATTTTTCGATGGTCCGGCGAGTCTTCTGCGAGACTCCAAGAGGCAGAATAATTTTCCCTTCACGCGGTTCGTGGAATTGTCGTTCGATTTTCGGTTGGTATGCTTTAAAACTTAGCTCCTAATTTTTTATATAAATTTCAAATTTAGAATTATTAGTTGATTAAGTTGATTTTGAATAAATAGTTAATTGAATACGATTCCTATTAGGAAACCTCGATAGAAACACACTTAATTCTGAAAAATTAAGAATACTGGTCATTTAGAATATTTTAAGAATATTTTAGTATTTATGTTAGATTAGTTGATTATCGAAGTGGATATAACTAAATAACAAGAAATTAGATCATTTAAATAGCTATGTATATAAATAAAATACTTTTAGTCTTTTATAAATAAATTAATTTGGATTAGTTTACGGTAGTTATGGTAGCCGATTGTGATCAGTTAATTGGTTTAGAATTTTTGAATTATTAAGTGCATATATGTGTGTTCTAGATATTTATCCTTCGAATAGGAGTCAAGGATTTAATAGTTATTAATTAATAAGGTAAGTTATTAGCTAGGAAAAACTTAATGATTGACAGAGGAATATGAATTATTTGGCATGCGGAGTATATATGATTATGTGGCTATAATTGTGAGTACGAACTAAAATAGTGCTTCATCCCGATGGAATATGGCTTAAATAGCTTTTTATCTTTGAGTTTGATTTAGAAGATAAATAGTTACATTATTTGTTGGTTCTTAGGAGTTGGTATACTTGATGAGTTTAATAGGTAAACTATTCATTACTTGTTACATATGAAAAGGTAGATAAATTATACCAGTATGCAACATCGTTAATGAAATTTGAATTGGAGTGAAATTTTAGTGAATGAGGAAATGTAAATAGTGGATGTTGAGTTACGAAGATGCCAGATGGGGTATGATTGATGAATAATGGTTATGGCAAATGGGATTAGTTGTTGTGAATTGCCCAATGGATGGGCTTTGGGAATTTATTGTTGAATTGTAGTTTTACGCAGGTGGTTTAATCCAATTTGTAAGGGAGGTTCTGCCAAAATTTTGACAGAATCTAAACTAGCCTTATTTGTAAATAGGTTGTAGGATTTATTTAGGATAATCCTTTATTATTTATTGATTTATTGATTTATTTATATTTATGTATTTATTTATTTTTCGAGCACTAACTATTATATTATATTATTATTTAACACTCTTATATTTAGTAAATAGGTTGTAGGATTTATTTAGGATAATCCTTTATTATTTATTGATTTATTGATTTATTTATATTTATGTATTTATTTATTTTTCGAGCACATATATATATATATATATAACTGTGCTATTTGCCCTGTGCTTTACTGTGAACACATATTTGCATCCCACTGGTTTCTTTCCTAATGAAGGGTAACAAGTTTCCAAGCTTCATTTGTTGCCAAAGCTTTCATCTCCTCAATTATTGATGCTTTCAATTTTTTTTATCTTTATGTGCTTCCTGCTAATTTTGTGGAATAGAAACAAAAGAAACAAACAACAAAATGGCTCTGTAGGAAGGAGATAAAGAGTCGTGTAAGAAACAAATTGGGATATAGGGTGTTTGGTACAAGTTCTAACCTCTTTCCTGAGAGCAGTGGGAATATCAACATCATTAATTATAAGGTCGGAGTTAGATATATTATCAGAAGGAATTGCTTCAAAATAAAAACTGGGAGTTATAAAAGACTCACCACATGGATTTTTAGGAGCTGATTGCAGAGACCACGATTGACCAGGTGTATCATGTGTGATGGCACTAACACAACCAAATACTTTTGGAAGAACAATTTATGAGTTATTACCCTGTAAAACAGCTTTAGGGCTTTTGAAATTGGGTGGTGTCCTAGGAGACATCTTATTAATAAGATATGTTGTACAAAGGACTGCATCAAGTCTTAGGAATATTCATAGTTAATAGAAGAGATCTAGCTACCTCTAGTAAATACCTATTTTTTTCTTTTAGATTCTACACTTAGAGCACTAGTATTCACACAGCTAATTTGATGTATGATTCCGTCACAGTCTAAATAAGCTTGAAACATGTTATTCATATACTCAGTTCCATCAACAGTTTTGAACATTTTAACCTTTGCATCAACCTATGCTCTAATCATGTTATGGAAAGATTTAAAGCAAGAAAGCACTTCATACAACAATCAATGAAGGTAACAAACCATTTATAACCAAATAATAAAATAATTGTAGGACCCCATATATGAGAATGAACAGTCGTGAAATGAATTGAATTACTATTATTATTATTATTATTATGGGAAATATGAGAACTTCTTTATGTTTAGCAAGTTCACTAGCATCACAAACTAAAGACTCTAACTGACAATGCTCAAAAAGACTAGGATATAATCTCTTTAGGACAAAAAAAGAGGGATGTCCTAATTGCCTATTCCACAATTATTTCTTGACTAGGATTACTATGATTTCCTAACAAGGCTCGAGTAATACTAGGGGCCAATGAACTGTAACCCTTTTTGAGAAGATATAGGTCATCAGCAATCTATGAAAACCAATTGTTTTCCTTGTTCTCAAATCTTGGAAAACACTAAGAGTAGGAAAAAAAAATTCAACTTTGCAATTGAGAGCTTTTGTAATAGCACTAATATATAAAAGATTTATAGAAAAACTGGGAATGTGAAGGACAGAAGTGAAATCAATGGTGGATGTGCACTTAATACAACCTATGCCAGCAATAGGTGCAAAAGAACCATCTGCAATGCGAACAATTTCTTTGCTAAAACAAGATGATTGGTTAAGAATATATTAGAAAAGCTTGTCATATGTTTGTTTGCTTCTGAATCTATAACCCATGAATCATCAGCAACAAAATTAGCAAGGAGGGTCATACCTGATTGCACAAAATTGGAAGAAGCAGCTGAGGTGGATGAAGAGTGGAACTTTGACAAAAGGCTTTAATGATTGTACTTCTTCAGTAGAGAAACTCCCAGCAAATGATACTTCAGGTACTGTAGTACTTCGTCAGGGTGTGCAACAGGTCTAGATGAACCGATCCTTTTACCACCACAACCTTTAGTTGGTACTTCTATGCAATTTCCAATATGATTCCTTAGTATGTCTCGGCTTTACATAGTAATCACATACTAACTGGTCTTTATTTGAAGAGACCTGGGTATTTTGTGTAGTTTGAGAAGCGAGAAGTCTAGATTTCTCAACAAAAGCCATTGTTAGCATGACAACTCTCCAGCTTTCTTCTTGTTGAACATAGGAATGTATCTGCTGTAGTGAAGGTATAGGGTCTTTCCCCAGGATTTGGATCATATTCAGCATTCAAACCTGCAAGAAAATCATGCGTCGCTTCTCGACTTTTCATAAAAAATGACTTCCACATTTGCTAAAGTTGGTGGCATCGATACTAGTGGTAATGTATATAATTAACTAAAATTAAAATAAAGGCTGTAATAGAAAATCAAACCAAAGGTTTGAATTTTCAGGTGTTAGCTCTATTTTATTTACAGTTGGAAATGTGAACATTTATTGATTATGTTTCTTTAATTCACACATAATTACATGGACCTATTTAGATACAGGCTACAAGGAGAATGAAATACAACCTTAGATATATGACCTAAGATATATCTATAGTACATAAACAACGTTACACGCATGCGCGTGCGCAAACACACAGACACGGTTCAGTTCAACTTTGATTTGATTCTGTTTGGCCCTTCTCCATCTTCAATTCAGTGATCGATATAAGTTTCAACTAAGTATTAGCGACTAAATAAATCCAGAACTTTTGCCTAATTCTCAATTAAAATTTTTTTATTCATATTGTTTATATATAATAACTTAAAAATTTTTATCTTGTCAATTTTGGATAACATCATGGTAAATGTTAATTATATTAAATAATTACACTTACAATTATTTTAAAATAATCCTTATATATTAGGGGTGATGGTGACTGCTAAAATGCACTGTGCTTTCTTTGATAAGTTTGCATACTGTTCTGTGGTTTTTTCACCTTAAATTTAGATTTGAAACATAAGCTTTTTTGTTATTATTATGAGTTATTCATCTATGTAAACAGAAGAATGATCCAAGTCATTTAACTGCCTCTTAAATTGCAGAAGCAGGTGTCTTGTTGTTCTGATCCTGCAGCTGAGGTACCATGCTTATTTTACAACGTTGCAGTGTAATGTTTTTGGTTTAACAAATTATTAAAGAAAATGAACAGTATTGTGAAATGTGGGCAACTGGTTATTTCTTGTTGTAGTTACCGCTATATCTGTTTCTTTTGTGCGATATTCACAACAAAGTGGACACCCTTACTTCTGGAAAGCAAATTGCATGCAGATGCAGAAGTCCGGCTCCTGGTTTCAGCAGAATGACTGTGGCAGAATTCCTAAGCAAAATTAGACCACTCTTCCCATATCTCAGGAGTCATTTTGATACTGCAGTTTCTACTCTGAAAGAAGGTAAGATAATGGCATCCATTTCAGCTGGAATACTAATGGCTTGTTGCAGATGAGAAGATTCCTTGATAGATGCAAATTTTCCATATGGTGGCTAAAAACATTCTCTTCTCTTCTTTCATGATTTATTTCCTAGTCCATTTTGGTGTTATTGAGGAGGCTGGGATATTTTTTGATGCTTTGGATATTTTTTGAGAATAAGATTTATCGGTTGATGAAAGAAAAGAGGGTATTATATGGTATTGTGGTAGCTGGTCACATCCTCATCTCTTCTTTCATCATTCTGTTTCGTAGTTCGTTTTTGGATTTGGCTTTTGGTGTTTATTAGGAAAGCCAGGGAATGTCTAACGTAAAAGTTTTCTCAAGCATATACAGAATCTTTTATTTGCCTTCTTATGTCTTTCTGCAAAAGGGATTCTCTATTATTATCCTACATGAAGTGGTAATTTTTGTTCTCATAGTTTTTTTTTTTCTTTGCTATTGTTATGCCATTTGGGATGGGAGTATATTCTATCCATGTAGAAAACAGAACTGAGAAGAAAAGGATTCTACTATTCTAATTCTTGTATATCTACAGCCTCTGTACAACCTCTTTATATACACAAAGATGGTTCCTTTATAGGAAATAATCTAAATAGGAAATCAACCTAAACTAGGAAAGAAAAAATTTTTCATAATTACAAAGATTTCAACACTTCTCTCTATTATTTTCCTTATTATATATTATGAAATTTGATTATGTATATACAAGGTGAAAAAAAGAAACACTTGAGTTTACCACTTTCTTCTTATCTTTGAACAAATGCAATATAGGTGATGAATCTTGTGAAGAACATTGGAAAGTGCAGTCTGCATTTGCTGGCAACCCAGATATAGCCAACATGTTTCCAAAATCTTCAGTTTCCATTCTGTTATGTAACGAAGTTCTTCATTGTTTCAGTAAGGTAGGTATTTCTTCAAAACTCTTGGCATCCACATTGGCCACTTCAATAAAATCCTTACCCACATCTTATTCCTAATTACAGATGCTAAACCTTCCTGAAGTTCAAATGGAAAAGGCAGTTATCTCAGATCTGCTTGAAGCCTTCCAGCCAAGCAAAATATCCAAGTGTGTTTTTTCTACCATACAACCTAGCCCCTTACCTGGGACGATAGAATATTTATATCTAGGTGCTGCTTCATTTTTAGAAGATGTTTTGGATACAGGTATTATTACTTGTCCTGTTTATAGTGTTGGTTTATGGTGATCAAGGTTTCTCTAATGGCAATTGCATGATTTGCAACTGCTTCCTGCAGCTTGTTCATTCTCCTTCACATTGGCTTCCGAATCTCTTCTTACTCTAGAGTCAATGGTTACCTCAATCCAGACATTCCTTGATAAGTTGGAGAGCAATGGTAAAAGTATATGGTCACAGTCCACTCATGGGGTGCTTCAAATATTACGCCGTAGACTTGGAACTTCTGCCCAGAAGCTTTTAAAGCATAGCTGGAATGGTGAAAATCTTGAGAATGGCTGGAAAAACAAAGTGCGACCTTTTTTGTTCTCTTTTAACTATTTGTTCCATTTAACCTTTGATGCCTAATGAAGTAAGCAGCCACCGTTAGATGGTGTTAAAATTTTCTGGTGTTCAGGGAGAAGTTGTGGAGAAGATATTGTGTATCTACTTGGAGAATAGTGAGTCTAAATCTGATTTGCTGGATGAGCTGGCTTGCAACGTTTTGCCTCAGGTGTTCAAATATTTTAATAATAATACTTGTTCATGATTCATTATGCTACATATCACTCAGATTAGGGCACAACAAAGGAAAAGAAAAATTGTTTTGCTTCAACCATGACGGATACTAATATCTGTTTGAACTAGACAACATGATTATATTGGTTTGTACATAAACCCTAAATGAGTTTCCATTCTGTGTTAGGTTTCTTCATCTAGAAGAATGGCAGAAGATCATGGTTTTCAGACTCTATGTAATGAAACATTTGTTGTGTGGTATCACGTGCTGGTATGGTTTTGAAAAATCCTCCTTTTTTTTTTTTCTAATTTTACAACTGTTTTTTCTTGATGGAGATTTTGTTTACATGAGGTGATGTTATCTGCAGCATGAAGTGAACCTTGCTACTCTTAACCATTTGGTAAGTTGGACATTGCATAACATTACAGATGAACAATTGATATTCATAAGGACAGAATTTTAGTGCATCTTCCCTGTCCTGTGATTAGGTTAAAGATGTCATTCTCAGGAAATCCAGAGCTGATGATCAGCTTGAAACTGTTGAAAAGCAGTTGGTAGAAATACAAAGGTCTGTGAACGCGTTGGTTTCATTGGTTAATATTTGCAGGACTCATGACAAGGTAACCAGATGGAGCTGTCATTGCCGACATTAATTCATCCAATTTTTATTTTTTCGGGTTCAAATTTAATCATTGAAATTGTTGACATGCTGAATAATTTGCAGGTAAATGTGCATGCCATGGCTATTAAATATGGTGGGAAGTTTGTTGATTCATTCCTCAAAGGTATAGCGTTGACTTTCTATATGTACTGGGGATTTGAAATCCAGTTGGTTGGGGTACTCTACTTAAAATCTTCGACAGTGTTTGATTTCTTACAGGCCCACTTTCAAACACACAATGAGCTTGTAATCCAATTGGTAAGATTGGGTACAGTGAACTTCTACTGTGGTGGATTTTTTTTAAATCCTGAAGATCAAGTTAGACCCCTACTACACGCTTCTATATATTTTAGCTTATTTTTCATGATAATTTAGGTGAAGGAGCTTCAAAAGGCCACGAGAACGATACAGACCATATGTTCTGAAGCAAAGGTCAGTTTCATCTGTATGGCTATTTATGAGAATCAAAAATATCAGAAATATAGCTGTCAATTTCGTCTTGAGAAAAAAAAAAAAAAAAAAAAAAAAAAAAAAAAAATTCATCTGTATGGCTATTTATGAGAATCAAAAATATCAGAATATAGCTGTCAAATTTCGTCTTGAGAAAAAAAAAAAAAAAAAAAGAAAAGAAAAGAAAAAAAAAAAAAAAAAAAAAAAAGAAAAGAAAAGAAAAGAATTATAGCTATCATAATTTTAAATTTGTTCTTTCTGCAAGGGCTTGAAACAAGTTGCTAGCACTAGCAAAATTCCTTCTACAAAGCGGTCTATAGAATGCTTTTTGTTCCGCGTGAAGGCTCTTCTTCATACAACATCAAATGGATGCACTTTTTGGATGGGTATGGAAAAATATCGATCACGTTAATATTTCTGCAATTTCTTCGCTCAGTTCATTTTAGTTGGACTTCTATGGTATTAGCTCAACTGATAGATCCATCTTTGCTCAGGATGTTACGATATGAATATTGAAATTTGCCACGCAATGACAAATTTAGATGTCCATACAAGTGAAACTTTTAACTCTTTATCTGATATAAATGAATTCAAAATATGAAATTCATTACAAATGAATTTTTTATATCTGGTTTTTTTAACTTAAAACGTGTAAATTGAATTCAATTCTATATAATCATATTTGATATAATTCAAAATTGAACATTCGTTTTCTTTTATTTTCTACAATACTTCTGGAAAATAATTTTAGAAGGCTAGGAAGATGAATAGTTGTACAAATTTGGATTGTTCGGTTTTATCGAATTCATATAGAAATTCTATCTATTTTTGTAGAACTTAGTTCAATTATGTTCAATTCTACCTATATTCATAATTTGAGTTAAATAATGCTTAATTGAGTCTGAGTGATTGCTGCTCATTAAGTATTTTACTTATAATGTTTTTTAACAGGAAATCTGAAACATAAGGACTTGATGGGTCAGGTGGTAAGCTCCCAAGCATACGTGGATGAGCAGGCTGAGCCTGCTAATGTTGATGGAGATTTGGCAGAAGTTGAGGACAGCGCTCAGCCTGCTAGCGCTGCTGGTGAGCACGAAGACGGGGAGTGAAATCTGCCTCTTTAATGATAATAAGTATTATATGTCGCGCGTGTAAAGCTTTTATTAGTCTGTCTGGGTTATTGACCCAAAAGATTCTGACTTTACAGATGGTAGTCGATTTGATTTTATTATTAATTCGTGATTTCTCTTTGCATGTGTATAGTTTTATATTAGCACATTATTAACATCCGTATGAATTCCAGACATCTTATTAGCATTAAATTATTCAATTTTCATTCACCATTAACCTCGGATGTTATATGTATCAAAATTACTGTTTTACCCTTACATGGGTAAAAGCTTAAAAAATCCATTCAGTCCACTTCAAACATCAATCTATTATTCAAATTGGAAAAATATTTGATTAAATTTGTAAAAATGTAATTGATTTGTAAATGGGAATGTGATTAAATTTGTGATAATGTAAATAATTTGATTTATAATTAAAATAAGGTATACATGATCTATTTCTTATAGAATTCTGCAATTACATTAGATGTGGGTTGTTTAAATAAACTATAATTATTTTATTATTATGCTAAAGAATTTCTGAGATTGTAAATAGTAAATGATATAATATGAATTGCTTAACGGGCACCTGATTCAGGGATATTATATATTTCCTTTCGTCTTAACATTGTTGTATAATGATTAAAGAATCAAATAATTTTTTTAAATTACAATAAAATATTTATTAATTTAATTAAATTACCTTTTAGAAAATTATAAAATAATTATTCCATCAATAAAAATAAGGATAAGATTAAAAAAACATCATTAGTTACTCTTAATATTTTCAAAACGATTTATATTTATGGACAGAATTATTTTAAAATGATTTATATTTATGGACAAAGAGAATATGTAATATTTGTATAATGGAACCTTAATTAGGCTTGCTATATGTTTTGGCTTTAAATTTGCCCAAATTCCAGTGCCGCTTCGAAATGGGATCGTGACAATATATGTTCTTTTGAAAATCGATATAAAATATCAGTAAGAAGCTGACATGACACTCTATTCATTGAGTTTTTTTACTTTTCTTTTTTTTACAAATTTTTGCACTTTTTCTTTTTTTTTTATATAATTTTTTATTTATTTCTACAATTTGATTGATTGTTAAAATATTTCTAAATTGAAAAATTAATATTTTAGGATGATAATCAATGCTTTTAAAATTTCATCATATCTATCTAAGCTCGTATTGGGTCATCAATGAGGAAAAAGATCATTGGGTAAAAATAGATCTCTAAGATAAATGATTTGTCTCCTTAGTTTTCAATCCATACATCGCTTCGTCTTCTATTCTAAGTGAGTGATTGTTATTTTTTCTTCTGTTATTTTCTTTTTTATTTTCTTATATCTTTTTCCTTATTTTTCATTTTGTTTTTTTTAACATGTCCTTGATAATATGATCAAGAGTTTCATCGATTCATGGGCGCTGATGAAGCAGCTCCATACTCTATTGCTAATCTATTGTTTTCCTGAATTCAGATAGTTATTTTTTTGGTTAATTAATTCAAATAAGGTTTTCATTTGTGGTCAAATTAATAATTTTTTTTTTCTGTTCTAATTTTGAAAGTCTATATCTCATCCCTATTTTCCTGTATACTAAAACTGTGATTTCCTTTGTCTCTCCAACCAAATCTCTATCAGTGATCTCCTTCCTTAATCTGACTCCCTTTCCCTTTTCAAAAAATAAAACCAGCTGCCAATCACCCCATACCCAAGAAACAATACAATTCTGGACTCTCTTCCCTCTCTCACAAGTATTTTATTTTTATTCTCATCTATCAAGCGATTAACATCTCTAAAAAAAAAACTTCAAAAAAAAAAAAAAAAAAAAAAAAAAAAAAAAATAACATCTTAAAAAAAACGTTCAAAAAAAAAAAAAAAAAAAAAAAAAAAAAAAAAAAAAAAACATAAAAGCTTTTATTTTTACTTTATTTGTATTCTGGTCTCCTTCATTTGTTTAAAAGTCTTTAATAACTTTTTGAGGTTTAGCATTTAGCAGTGACAATTGATTAATGTAAAGATGAGGAAAGATGAAGAAAAATGGAGGAATCTGTATTCTATTTAGGAGTTTAGTTTTTGTTCAGTTATTAAGAGACTTAATTGATTAAAGTATTCTTTTTTGCATATGATTTTGGATTTCATTGCAATAAGGACAGAGTAAACTAAAATAATTATTTTTTATATTTATTTTGTCCAGGTAATGGTCAATATGGGAATGTGTACAAATTAGCTTTAGAGCACTTTCAAATTCATAATCACGTATCAACTTGCCAAGGTCAGTATCTTTTTTCCACACCCTATAGTGATTGCAATCCCTCAAAAGTATAACGGGTAGTTTTTAGAAGTTGATGTTTACTTTCCCTTTAAAATCGCAGAGAATAGGAAGCAGTTAATCTATTTCTGGTAGTCAAGAAGTTTCAAGGAATATTAGGCGCGCTAGAAACAAGAAACAAGGAGGCGAATTCAAGTGTAACTTCATAGCAGAAATTACTCCCAATATGCAATTTCACCAAGTGATTGTTCTTTATGATTTAAAACATAATTAAAACATAACATTTTCTAATGTTTCTGATTCAAGCATTTCGAATCATTTATGAGATTGTGCTTATTTTTCCATCTATAGAAGTTTGGTGTTTTCAAACAACTAGGATGGTCAGATATGATTGTTATAATATTTCGAGTTACTTTAAGTTTTATGATAAATATGAGTTTCCCATAACCCATGAGTAAAAGCCCTTACAAAATTGAGATTGGATATGTCAACGGCAAATATATATACATATTGTTACGAATGGATAACACATGAGATTGTTCTATTTCTAACAGCAGGTTGGGTTCAAGCATTTCTCCGTTTGCTCGATCACAACCACATCAAAGGCACATGGTTAAGCCTTCCATTGCACCTGCACTTGCTCCATCCCATCAAGGTATTATTACATATAACTATTGTGGCAACTTACTATATGAGTGATGCTGGCATTTGCTAATATTATATCAGCCATTGCAGCATTTGCTTCTGGTCCTAATAGGGCTCCTTTATCAAGAACTTACGATCATTACCAAAACCATGTGAAACCTCTTGTGGTTGCTCCTTCCCCCCCCCTATGAAGACCATGGTAATATTTGGACGTAAACCTTACTTCTCTCTCTATATCATATATTTACGACTTTGAAAGAATTTCTGGCGGATTGTGATCGAGTTTGCACCGAGCGATACAACTCCTTTTGTTTCACCATGTGGTTGTGTTTTTTTTTTTTTTTTTTTTTTTTTTTTTTTTTTTTTTTTTTTTTGCTGAAAGTCAAATTTTTAGATGTGGCTCCTTATTTTATTTTTCCAACAATTAATCAGCTAGAGATTGAGGTTGCTGCAGGGACATATTTGGAACAAAGTCAAGTGAAAATAATGGGATCAAATGCTGGTCAAAATCTCGAAAAAACTGGGTGTTGGAGTTTCTTAAATGTCCTGCTATAAACATGGCTCCTATAACTGAAAAATTTATCAAGTATTTAAGGATATTATTTCTAGCAATTGTAATATTTAGAAGTAATTAAATTCTTTACAAGTTCAGACTTAAATTCATAATTTCGAATCCAAAAGTCTACCTCAACTATTATGGAAAAAGTCATCAATTTCATTTTTAAAATCATTCGTGAGGTAACTTGAAAACATAAATTTAAAATGCATTTGAAAACATCAACTTAAAATGCAAAAAATCAAATGGATAAATTTTTAAATTCTAAATCAACAATTTTATGATTAAATCTAGGATTAATTATTATTGATAATAAAAATTTTAATATGATATAGCAAATTAAGAACTTTTTAATATAATTTAATAGTAATTGTTATATATACTTGAATGCAAACTTTTCATTATATACTAAATTATTACTCAAAATATAATTTAGAGTAATAAAGTAATTTGCGTGATACGCAAGCCTTCACATAGTTTAAATTAAAAGTAAAAAATATAGTTTAATATTTCGTGTGGAATTTGTTAAAAATAAAATTTTTTGACAACATTATTTAACACTTTTTTTTTTTTTTTTTTTTAACAACTTTTTTTTTTTTTTTTTTGAAAGTAATACATCATTTTTTTTTTTTTTTTTTGAAAGGTAATACGTCATACAAAGCAGAAGAAATCAAAGTCGAAGGGACAAGACCTACTTTGTGAGATCAAGCAAAGAATAGGAATTAATTGCTAAAAGATAGAAACTCTATTCGTTGATTTCTTAACAAAACCAATAGAGTTATGCAAAAGCTCTGTAAACAAATATATACAATTAGTAACAATCACACCAAAATAAGAGCAATCAACTTTACCACTTTGGATAGCTTAAACTAGGATCAGGGAATCAGACTCAAACATAACACATGACAAATCTCACCTTTTAACTAAACTAAGAGATTGTTTGTGACATGTCAACCTGGCAAAGTGGTTTAAAGAAGGCAGTTAAAGCAAAGCTCCTAGCAGGCATCGAGTACAAATTATACATTGGTGAAACTGTAGTTTTTTTATAACTTTTTTAGTAATAAGTATATTTTTGAGAACCGGATTGAACTAACCAGTTTAACTAAAAACCGGACTATAGTCTAGTCCGAGTTAGCTATTTAAAACGAAAGATAAAATACAAGATCAAAACCGAATAAAATCAAAAGAATTGGTGAACCAAACCGGTCAAACAATACGGTTCGATTCAAAATTTGCAAAAAGATTCCTGAAATTTCTCCTCTCCATAGCCTCTTTAGATGATAATTTCTTGACTCTCATTATTGACTCTATTCTTTTTCGTTGTTTAATTATTGAGAGCTTCGACTCATCAAAATTAAAAGGGTTTAAATATGATTCTGGGGATGATAAGGAAGAGAACAATAACGTTTTATTAGGAAGTTTAGTGCATAGTTGCAGACTTGCAGTAACAAGCTAAAGCTAATAAAGGAACGTATTGAGGTTGATGACAAAAAGAGAAAACTAAAGGACAGAGATAGAGAAAGTGGTGTTGAGGGTTTGAAAGGTGAAGATATGGGAGTTAGATTTGATTGGATGAAGAGAGGGGTTAGAGATATTTATCACTATTGATTCTAGATCTTTCTTTTATGTTTTTTTTTTTTTTTAAAAAAAAAAAAATTTTTTTTTTTTTTTTAAAAAAAAAAAAACAAATTTGTTTATTGTTCTTTTTTTTTTTTTTTTAAAAAAAAAAAAACAATTATGTTTTATTGTTCTTGTGCTT